GACTGGCTTCATAAACACAACATTGACTATGACGAAAATTTTACCAAAGTAGAACTTTTGATGTTGGTGCAAAACGTCCAGAGGGAGCCGGTGTACAAAATAGACCAGCTTATTAACAATTTTGGACATCAAGTGCTGCGACTGCCACCATATCACCCCGACCTCAACCCCATTGAGTTGGTATGGGGAGCTATAAAAGGACAGGTAGGCTTAATTTATGTTTTATTATTGTCATATATTTTATAAGTGTATTAAAATTGTTTTCATAACTCCAATCCGGTTGTCGAGGAAGAGGCAATATGAAAATAGGTGGAGTGCGTTTAATATATTTTTTTTAAAGTACCTTTTAACACAACAGTATTAAGCCAACTACACATAACCTTTTACGGGAATTCCTATATTAATATAGCATTATAACACATAATTGGTTTGAATTATAATAACAAGTTATAGTATTTAGTATAATTAATAATTATAGTACGTGTATGCTTAATATATATAATTGTAACAGTATAAAAACCAATGTAAAATGTAAAGAAATTACGTGTTCGTATGGGATTTAAAAAGTATTTATGTATACAGGTTGCTAAAGATGTAGCTGCAAAGACATTGGACCAAAAAATGAGACTTTGTGACAGTCTGTTTACGTCATACACTGCAGAAGAATGGAAGAAATGTTGTGAACATGTCAAAAAGGTCGAACAAGATTACTGGGAAAAAGACCATATAATAGACAATGAAATCGACAGACTGATAATTTCAGTAAACCAAAATGAATCTGAGGATGACAGTGATATCAGTGATTTCATTACCGATTCGGAATAGAGATAATATTTAGATCGTCGACATTTTGTTTCCACTATTAATTAAGGTATGTCGTTTATTTTATTCTCAAACTGAAAATTATACAAATTAATTTGTATCAATATCATTCAATATGATGCATACTGTACATATGGTTCACATTTATCAAAGCTTAAGTTCTTCCAATAACTGATCAACAAATATATCTATAAAGGTAGTCCGTGAGAATCATTAGTCTATTCTATTATATTAGTGTTCTTAAGCTATTTATATTTATGTGTGTTGTGTTACCTAACGATGGACTTAGTCCCAAAGAATTATTGTAGTTCAAAAGGAAATAATTATTGTATTCAACGAGAGCGAGGTGCCGGTCCGGTAGCAGTACGCGAGTACACTGCACTCTGCAGGGTTGTGTTGTTGTGTTTGTGTTGCGTTGTGTTGTATCACTGCGCGGTGTTCGGGAAGGTTGGGGGTTGGCGGCAGCGGAGTGGGGGAAGAGCCATAGTCTGTCTCACTCCCACAGCTCGGTATCTCTCTCTCGCACCAATGCTACGAGGAGGACGCTTTCTAAACGGTTTACCTATAGCTTGTAATATTAACATTGTACCTTCTGCGACTAAATGCCTTGTTTCTAAAAAAAACAAACAAAAAAACACCAGTTTTGGGTGAAGCCATCTGTTCAGTTGTAACCAAAAAGTCTCATAAAGACACTTTTTTGTTTGTAATTGTATGCACATCAATCAATATTAGATTAGGGTTTGTCAAACGGATTGCTGATATAGTTGATCAGTCTATAAGAGTCTTAAGTGAATATGAGGTGTTTAAAAGTCATTTGACTATGGCATAGATCTTATGAAAAATCCTTGTTTCAAAATACACCCACCCAGGCGAATACCCCATCCAATACGTGACGCAGTGAAAGCAGCTGAACTTGACCAAATGGTAAAAGACAAGATTATTACTCCGGTAAGTGAGCCTACTCCTTGTGTGTCTCCTATGGTCATAGTCCAACAAAGAGACAAAATACGTCTTTGCATTGACCCAACTGATCTAAACAAAAATGTAAACCTTAGACATTAACCATTGGCTACATTAGAGGACATCGCAGCTAGATTGAATGGTTCTACTTATTCACCATCCTTGACTGTAAAAAAGGGTTCTAGCAGATAAAAGTTACGAAGAGAACATTCAAACTGCTAACTTTTTCAACACCTTGGAGGCGCTACTCTTGTTTACGCAAGCCCTTTGGTTTGGTATCGGCCCCTGAAGTGTTCCAGTATATTATGTCAGACTTGCTCAAAGGAATTAAGAATGTAGTGTTCAATGGATGATTCAACGCATTCACAGTAACAATTAAAAATACTTGAAATATCATGAATGAATGATAATTCCTATGTATTCTGATACAGTTTCTCGAATCAGAACTAGTGTTGGAAAATGCAAAGAGCTTTCTGAATTGAAGGAAATAATATTGAAAGGATGGCCCGAAGAAAGAAGCACTGTTGACAAGGAATTGGTCGAATATTTAACTTTCAGAAAATAACTAAGTTGCTATGATGGTCTTTTGGTTTAAAGGAAGCCGTTTGATTATACCTGATGAAATGAAACTTAAAAGTGTTGCAGAATATTCACCATCCTCACAAATGTGTTAAAAGGTTCAATTAATACAGCACGTGACTATATTGTTATTACATGTTGTTGTTATTGTATATTGTTATTGGATAAATATGGAAATAGATATTGAACAATACGTAGCAAGGTGCAATGTATGCAGCAAATCAACGAGATAAACCTCAAGATGTGATCCTTCAAGAAACAGTACCAGTGAGGCCATGGCAGTTCATCGGAGCTGATGTTTTTGAATGTGGAGGTAATGATTTCTTAGTAATTGCTTGTAGTTACTCAGGATATTTTGAGTGTGAAAATCTAAGGAACAAAAGTAGCATCACTGTTATTACACACCTAAAAAAGTACTTTGCAACTCATGGTATGCCAGATGAACTAAGAACTGATGGAGAACCATGTTTTGCTTCTATAGAATTTACTAAATTCGTATCCGAGTGGAAGTTTAATCATAGAATTTCATCTCCTCATTTTACCAGATCCAATGGGCTAGCTGACAGGTATGTCCAAGGAGGGAAAACAAATTGTCAAGTCAAGAAGAACAGTCCGATATTTATCTTGCACTTATTCATCACCGTAACCTAACACACCAAGAAGTAACATAGGTTCCCCACGTCGGCGACTGATGAGTCGGAGGACAAAGACTCTTCTTCCATCTACGACCAACATCCTTATTTTGATGGTCATAAAAATGTTTCAAAACAGCTAGAAAATATTGAAAGACGAGAGTTTTTACATGTGAAGGAGGGATGACAGTAGTAGTTAATATGTTAATAACATGTGGTAATTGTTCAACATATGTTTTGTGTTATTGTTTTGTATTTGGATTGAGTTTTTGTTTGAACAGAAATACACAACCTTTCATGAATTCAGTTTACTTGATAATTAATCCAAAGACTCCAGTGAGCTCGTTTTACGACAAATATTATTGGATGATGATTGTAGAATGTAGTGAGGTGATATATTTGTGACTAAGATAATATGCTAGCTCGTTACTCAGGTCCATTTATTAAAACACCGAAGATCCAAGGACACATTGGTCCACTTTTGATTAGGCAGAGGCAATTCGCACTGACTTTTCTCAGGATCGAACCGGCTACCCTCTGATCACCAGGTTAGCTCGCATCCACCCAACGTTTCATATATTTCACCAAAGTCCATGGAGAGCAGGTATTTATTCTTGTCTTCCCTTCAAAATCCAAGGAGGCTATGTATAGCTCGGAAACGTTTACAGATGACTTCTTACTAAAAAATGAAGATGCGGCATTAACACATAGCTAAGGCCGTTGGTGATCTGCGGGATTTGAACCCGAGTACCCGACCTTTGTAACTTGAGACGTTTTCTTTTGGGAGGGAGATTATTGGGGTACTGTCCATTAACACCTCCCTATAAATCACCTCCATCCAAAACAGAGACTTGTTCACAAGGCAATTCGTTGAGCCAGTTACTGAACAATCTTCCAAATTCCACTTAGTGGGTCATCTCCTTCATCTAAACCGGGAACTTTTGTGACCACTTACACAGCTCCCCCTCTAAACTGGCACCGATGCACTATGACCATCGGGACGGATTTTCTTTTCACTTTCCTTCCTTTTAGTTTGCCTCTTTCATATTTCAACTTTTCCAGGTTCCTCTGTCTCTACCTAGTAGAATTTTCAAACTCATGCTTTTTCATCTGATTCTCCTACAATCACAAGACAACCTGACTAGCGATTCATTGCTTTTAAATGCGTTTTTGCCAGGTCCACGGCTTCTCTCTTAGATATTCTTTTATTGCACCTCGTTAGATTGGAAGTCGTGACAGATGAGCATGCTTGGGGCAAACAAGATTGCCGTGTACTCTCGTTTTAATGTATCTTTGTTATTGGCGTCAGAAGGAGAAATATGACTCAGCACTGGGAGCCAAGGATGAGAAGTAACCATTAATGCAACATTTACCATAACTAACTAGAGGATCATACTTCTTAGTTTACGCACTGCTAAGGGAATGAGGTAAACACTTTTCAGCTACAGAGAATACTTGATACAAGGCTAATTCACAGATATCTTAAAAATCTACTCCTGAAAAAACAGAAACGTATGGAAATTGTCTGATGAGAATTGATGTGACGTTGAAAAAGCTCATGGAGATGAGCTACAATCAGCTATTACTACACCTATTAGAACATTTTCGTCTGGTACAGGCTACCCTAATTTCTGCTATGTTGGAATTAGTACTACCATCCTTTATCATTTAAAAAAGAGGATAGTTGCATATTCTAACATTGTATCTGACTGTCCAGTCCACATAGGCCTCAAGCTTTTAAGTAGAACATATCCAGCAAAGCAAGTGGTAAGCTGGTTCAGTACAAGAGTGAACTGTAGTGATAAAATTTCGTGGTGAGCCCACGCTTCTTCCAACTGAGCCACCTAAGTACTTCATCATTTTTTTAAACGGTTCTTAAACGTTACTGTGCTGGCTATAGTGACTCCTGGACACGAAGAGTTGTGGTTGAGACTATAGTTACACCACAACCGTACTATAGACTCGTACTCGTATTAGCAGCAGGTTATCGTTTATTTTATGTTTCAGGCGGAAGCAGGACGAAGTAGAAGTCCTGGAGGAGACGATCCGGCAGCGTTCTGAGCAACAGAAGAAGGCGGGGGTTGAGCTAGACGCTACTTGTCACATCTGCCTCAAGACCAAGTTCGCGGACGGCGTCGGTCACATGTGCAACTACTGCAACATCCGATGTTGCGCAAGATGTGGCGGCAAAGTCACTCTGCGCTCCAACAAGGTAAACACTTTTTAATAATGATTTCGTAGGCTATTTTCGAAAAGAGCCCGTTAGGTTATTTTGTTTCCGTTTAGTAATGTTTCGTGTAATGATAAGGTGGCCTACTAGGCCTTTTGGAAAATTAGCAAGAAAAACAGCACACGAATACAAATTGACGTATTTGTAAATTTGCCTCAACATTTCACCTTTTGATTTTGTAAACTTTACCTTGTATGTCATTATCATCAACTAAACTGAAATAAACTAAACTAACCAACAGAAAGCGCACTGTGGAATAATGGTGGGCTTCTTATTCAAAAGATGCAATTTGTAACGTAAATTTGTTCAATATTTAAAATATCGGAGAACAGCAAGCTTCTACTGTATAGATAATGGGTTATGTTTCGTCATAGAACCAACACACGCAGATTTCTCATCCCATCGTAAATGTTGAAGCTCGTTATTCGTGTCTAGTTCATGTCCGGTGACGCGGTGATTGCAAGTGTTTAGTGTTGACGAATTCTTTCTACTATTTTAGGGTTAATTTCCTGATTTGTGCTTTACTGTCTGGTTGTATAACTAGGGGACGAGTTATTGTTAATGATTAGATCGTTTTATTTGGCTACGCGGGGTTTTCAATCACTGAAATGACAAGAAACAAATTGTAAACAAAACACGACCTCTACAGTGCATCGGACGGTACTAACAATAAACTTCGGCTGATCCATAAGGATGAGAAATCTACTAAAAAAGTACGTTTTATCTATTGTTTAGTCAAGCCAATGACTGGTTAGCTCAATCGTAAAATCTATGGCGGATAAACCGACGTATTTTGCCTGGACAGAGACGGTTAATCCGATTATAACCTTGTTTAACAGAGGTATGCGTAAAGTGAAACCAAACAAGTTCCAAAATCGAAACGCACGAGTGAAAACAACATTAGTGTGCGTATACACCCTCTGCGGTTGAAAGTTTCAAACAAGGTAAAACGCTGCACTCACCAGCTGATTGGGTTAGGTATAGTTATGACAGTCCATTGCGGAGGAATTTGATTACTTTGGACCTCTGATGTTGGCCTGCGCGTCGTCAGTGTCAGTCAGATCATATTGTGATAGTTACCAGAGATAGGCTTACATCATAGAAGCCTTGTACTGCCTTATCATCCAAAGAGGTAATTTACCTTGTAAGTATAGCTGTTTAGTTTTTAAAACTTTTCAAACCAAGTTATCCTTTAAGTTATCGGTGTGTAAATTGTACTCGGAAAAATGTGTCGATTTTTAGTCCTACTGAGTTTGTTCCCTTATAATTGGACTTCTAGATACTGAGGTAGATATTCCGTCAGTAAAGCTGTAACCAATTTTGTATTCAAGAAGATCATAATTTGACTACTCATACAGAACGCACTACTGTATAAAGTTGTTTATTCCTTAGTTTTTATTACTATAATTGATTATGCATAGTAGTAGTAGGTTGCATAGTTGATGGTGCAATAGTTAACAAGTAGTCCCGCTACAGAAAACCTAAAGAATAGCAAATTTCCATTTACTTGGTTGGATTTTCACAAAAATAGTTCGATTTATTTAAATCTAAACTAAAATTTAAATAACAACTTAGGTTTGCTGCTACATGGATGTCTGTGCGTGTGTGGATGTGCACAAAGCTAGAGGTAACCTTTGTGGTCCGGTTTTGATTTTAGTATGTGGGTCCATGGTATCTCTAGGATGATTTTTCATTTTTTGGAAATTCTGATTTTTAATTTGGATTTTCCCAAAAGTAACAGAACAAATGGATTTGAGCAAAAACGTCTCGAACGATTTTCATAAAAATCTAGTGTGTTATGGCACTTTCAACTCTAAACAAAATGGTACATTCTCCAATGCTGTAAAAATTATGGTTCAAAAGTTATGGCAACTTTTGTGATATTCCCCATAAAATATCACACGTACTCCCACCGCTTACCCATGATATAGGTCGTTGACAAGCGAATGGGAGAAAGTATGTTCAGATTGCTCATGCCGTTCATTTGAGTGGTTTTAGCGATTGTCTGGTAATCATATGATGGTTAGTCAATTGCGTGAAACATTAGTAGATTTTTGATCATTGGGCCTTTTAAACAATGGCCCTGGCTGAAAAAAAAAACAGCTGATCTTATATTAGCAAGTCAGTACGACAAAAAGCTACACAGCTTTATACAACACTCATCCTTCATCCATTTGAGTTCTAAATACACCCAGTAGCGTCATCATTTTAACTGGCAATAATCTAATAAGTTAATCTTTGTAGTGTAAATATAATTATCTACTCTGTAGTAACATTGCTTAGTAGAATTGAGTTTCGTTTAATTCGAGCACAACACTCACTTTCTTTATAGGACCTTAAAAATCCGTGCAAATATTTTTCTTGTCCTATGAACAGAATAGCGCTTTCCTACTCAACCCATAACATGGTCAAATAAAACAGTATTCACCTTCTGTAATTAATCGTGACTTTTATAAGGGCAATCGAACTAATAGTTCGAATCAACTTAAGATACAATATGAATCTATTTATTATTTAAGATAATTTTTGTAGAGTACCTATATGTACTAGGTGTACAATGCAGTTGTCTGTTTGCAATATTGAGTGGAGCTAGCATATTAATCTGTTTATAATTGGTTTTCCTTTATAATATTAGGAACAAAATGACTACACACAGTGGTTTATAAAGTCCATAGTGGAAGTGATGTTTATTTACAACAAATTAATAAACATAGCAATCACATGGCATATAATTAACACATGACAGCTGCTTCTAACTTAGTACCAAGAAGGCAATGAGGAACAAGATTATAAGTAAATTCCAACACCCACTTTTCCAAAGTCAATTATGAACAGGGTCAATGATCTGGTTCATATAAAAATTATTATTCATTATTATTTTTCGTTTAATGAGAAATCTACTTGCAGTATCCAAAGTCAATGGTATATTTGTTTTACACAAATGGAATGTTTATTTGCCCTATTTAAGTTCAATAAAACGCCAGGTTCACGTAAACAAATTGTTTACTGCAGCATCCAAACTCAATGACACATTTGGATAACGTAAATTAATTTTTTACTTGCATTATCCAAAGGGTAGGTCTGGTTCACGTAAATGGTATCTTTGGTTCACAATAATAGAATTCCTATTTGAAATATTAAAAGTCTGCATTATTGGTACGTCTAATTCACGTAAAGTGAATGTATACTTGCTGTATCCAAACTCAATGTTATATTTAATTTGCATAAATGGAATGGCTATTTGGAGTAGGCTATGGTGCATTAGCCTAATTCCGGCGACCCTAATTATTGGTTATTCATTTTGTAGTAAATTATGATCAACGATATTAATCCGATTGTTCTTCCTGTTTTCTGTAAAAATAATGCCACGGCGACCAACTAACCCATAAGGCCCATGTTAAATTTCTAAAAGTTTACTTCACGTAGGTTAATGCCCTGTGGTCCGATTTTAACCATTTCAGATGCATACCTTCCCATGGTTGGTTACTATAATTGTGCTAAATTTCGTGCAGATCACTTCAGCCGTTCAGGAGGAGTATGTATTTGTAAAACAAAAGCAGGAGCGAAGTATAAGAGTTTCGCTCAATAAACCATTTTTGATCGAATATGGGTCAATTTACTTCGAGCTCAATACAGTATCATTACCAATACTTATCGTTACAACTCGTACAATTTTTCTCATCCTTTGTAAAGGAAACTTGTTTATCCATCCATTTCTTGTGTTCATCCCGTTGCTCAAGATCTAAAATAGCATTGTTCGTGCATGAATTGCGCCAAAGAGTTCCTTGATTGCGCCAAGCCCTCAAAAGGTCCCAAAAAATGTTACTTACTTAATACTTGATACTTGTGTCCTTAATCCTTGACCGACAATGTCGGATAGATTGCGTCAGTGGCATATTAACATACTATTTACACATTATTTTAAAACTAATATTTACAAACTTCTTGCATAAAATACACTTTAGAAAAATAATTTTTGTTTTTTGGCTGTGGCGATTGTATTCCTAACCTACTGGAGTGCTGTTTTCAACTAACTTTTAGTGGAACCTCCTTCAATTCCTCTAATGAGTAGAGGGGTCTATTTACCAGTTGGCCGTGCAGTACTGCCTTGAACTTCGCACTGTCCAACTCTCTCACTTCTTTTGGCAGAGTATTAAAGATCTTAATAGCTGAGTGAGGGTAGCTCTTGATGGAGTGGCTAAGCCTACAGTGATATCGAACAGTAATTATGTTCCTTAGTTGCGCCGAGCCCAAGCCAGATAGGGGTGAGTTGCCGGCAGAAGGATTGTCCTTGTTTACGTTTCATCCAAACCTAACCTATCCTAACCTAACCTAACCTAACCTAAACTACTCAACTATAGAGTCAAAAGGGCCGCTACTTGGTTAGTACTTGGTTACTTGGCTAGTTAAGGAACGTATTGGGTGGCTCCCTGGATTAGTTGGTGCAATTCAGGAATACCCGACTACCTGACTCAGGTCAGTTGGTGCAATTTTAATGCTCGCCCATATCATTAGGTCTCAAAGTAAAGCCGAGTTAACTTTGGCCATGTAAACTCATGTCAGTGAAAACGTAGACCTAGTAAAACTGGAGCTGGAGAGTTTTAGTAAGATGATGTACTATTTCTATTGAACTTAGTTAACCCAGATCCATCGGATCGAAAGTATAGTCAATTCCAAAGAAATTAATCATACACGCGACTTCAATCACATAGGGGTTTGACATACTGAACAAATGATAAGTTACGGACCTTTGCCCGTATTCAGTCTTATGATAATTCAAGAGCTTTAATTGTCAATGATAATAGTCTGAGGATTAATAGTTTCGGGTCATAGGACTTAATGTCAAATACGACAACAAAATTATGGTTTTCCAAAATCCGATAGGTCTTCATCAATGAACACGCACATTGCACACATTCCAATACACGCTAGGCCAGCCAAACTAGAAACGCGGGACAAACCGATGTAGGCTGCACGGCTTGTGTTTGTAGACGATTGACGATTTGTCTGCGAAATAAATTTAGCAAATAAATTTATATTTAATTCATATTTTTCAGAAAATGTTGCTTTAGACTTTTTACATAGTGCAATGGCAAATATATTATTTCATATCTTACTAGTTTTGGCTGAGTTTTATTTTAAATAGATGAAACTATCTCAGTCTTACGTTAAAATAAAATTGCATTCACCTTCTTCGTTGCCAACCGAACGTGGAATTCGCAGCAATGTCAGAGGCAGGGTGAATGGGCAGAATTACGTCAAGAACCCCTCCTCCCCGCACTCCCAACCACTGCCTTATCGATTGTAGCACAGCCACTGCCACTTGCTGTTTACTCTATCGCCGTACCATGAAGGCTGTGGCCTATGTTACCATTACTGTGCATAAAAAATGTATATACAAAATCTCCGTGAGAACCTTTTTTTCCATTTTTGCGTTTTATTGATTATTTTTTTCGTTCAACACCACTTAAATTTTTTATGAACCAAATTGACACATACTCTTTAATAGAATTCGATCCAAATCCATTGAAATAGTCGTGAATACTGTTTTTTGGGAGACGTTCGAGACGCTAACCACTAGCTGGCAACACGCCTAATATAAGGGAAGGATCGATGTGGGAATTTTATCGCCTTGAAACCAGAAGGTCGTCGGTTCAATCCCAAAGATCGGCCGTTTGTTTAGCCAGGATTATTACACGACGCCCAATTATGAAAGACAGAAGGGGCCAGTCACAAACCAAGTTAAAGGGTCTATTGCTAACCTAGTGGTTGGCATCTCGGACTTTGATGCAGAAAGGATGGGTTCGATTCCCTACTTATCCATAAAAGATTTAATGTGCTTGGACAGTTTTACTCTAAAAGTGTTTGTATTACCTTCTTTAACAACAGATTTGGCGTAGTTAGACAATACAAAAAAACAATCAAAAATCTACTCACTGTAGTTGGTGAACTTTTGGAAGTGCAATTATCTTAGTTAGCAATTACCTTGTTAAATAACTAACCAGTGAATTTGTCCCCAGGTGATCTGGGTGTGCATCCTCTGCCGCAAGAAGCAAGAGCTGTTGAGCAAGACGGGTCAGTGGATCAACAAGGGAATGTCAGCTGGCGACCCGATCATGCGGCGTATCGAGGCGGATCTGCAGCAACAAGACAAGCGGCCCAAGCTGGAGCGAGCGCACTCTGCCGCGGAGAAGGAGAACCAACCGTTGCTGCAGCGGTCTGGCTCGCAGCTGAGGCGACAATACAGTCAGCAAGACGCCAGCCGCGAGGAAGAGGCGCGATACTACCGCGGAGAACTAGAGGGTCTGATGAGATCACACCAGTACGCGACGATGACGGGCGGCCGCGGAGAGTTGAGGAACGACTCGCTCAGCTCCGAGCAATCTTCCAGCATGGACTGTGCGCCCGCGCCCGCTAGTCGTGGCGGAGCCATCACCGTGCTGGTAACCGGCAAGAAACACAAGAGGACCGGGTCCGCGAAAAAACAATCCGGGAGTGGAAGTGGGAGTGCGCGCGGGTACCATCAGACGCCGCAACCGCCCCAGAGATCGTTCTCTAGCTCGGACGACGAACTGAGGTCCACCCCCGACTGTACGAGCTGCGAGGAACACGACAGTGAGAAAGGTAAGGGTCGCAGTACATGATACTTGTGTGACTAGGAGAGTGACAGTTAGGATTAGGCTACTTTAAGTTATAATTTTGAAGCTCAATCAAACTACTTTTGCCAGTTTTCTAAACTGTTTGTACTGTAATGAATGCTACTTTGAGGCGTGATGGATATACGTCGAAGATACGTAGGATTTATCCAAGAGATTATTTCGGCCAGTTTCCATCACAATTTGGAAAAAAACTAAGTTTTCAAGGGAATCGGACCTCGCTTTTAGGTAAGGAAGTACCGACAGTCTGACAATATAGCAAGACTAGAACACAACAACACAACTCAGAAAAAACTAACAAGTAATAATCTTGTCATGTTTTAGGTATTTTCTCACCTGAGGACAGTTTTTCTTTTACCAATCGTAGTGGGAAATCTTCAAACGAACTGTCGAATAACTTTAACTTACTATCTTCAAAAATGAACTTCCAAAAAATAATACGTAGGTACTCACGAAAACCTTCCAAGGGAATAATTATATGTGGAATGGATATCAATTAGTTTACCTGAATATATGAACTAATTTGAAGGGACTTTAAAGTAAAATTGTAGCTATTGAATGTTTCTTCAAATAAGTCTGAGACCATCAACAATAGTAGATGCTCTATTCACTCGAAGAGAATGTTTGGAAAATTTATTTTTGGGAAGTCTAAGAATACGCCCACTTAGTTTTTAAAATCAAATCTGTACATCTAACTGATTAGGTATGAGGAAGGAGAGACACTTTTTTGAACGCTAATGATAGAAACCTCAATTAAAGAAGCTGTATCCCTGCGAAGAAAACCTATAACTTGTTAAACACCCACTGTTTAGCAGTCATTTAATTTTAATAACAAAGCCACCCATTTACAAAGGATCCAGATTCAAGGAATCCAGGTCTTTACTATCCCTATTGTCACCTTTCTAAAAGACGAGTTAACCAACGAGTGTGATGGCCCAAGCCTCCAGATCTCACCTCAGAGACCGTGGATATACTAGAATAGATAATGTCCCTTACCTGTCAACAAAACTGTTCACAGTGGCTACCAATTTTTGACAGTGTTAAAACCCGGTGACTTAAATCCAAAATTAAACTAAACTCTACAAGGAACCAAACGACTAAAGTGTTGTCGTCAAAATATGTTTCAAATAATAGAAAACACAAGGATGTTCTCTTTAACGTATAGGATCTGACAAGTGAGTTTTCCTTAAGTAATATTTAATCATGTTTGTTCCTGCAGTCACCACGCAATTCGCAATACGTCATCGAATCGTACTATCCTATATTTCAGGTCGAAATTACTTTGCAGAACACCTCAAGACAACTACAAACAGTTTGGTAAACTGGCACTTTTTACGCTCAGTAGCTCTGTGTTTTCTTCGTAGATATTTTACCCTTAAAAGTCTGATTTAGGTACATTGATTTGTTTTTAAAGTTTTGTTTAATCGATTAAATTTATTCAGTGACAGTCATGCAGCGAAGTTTTGAACATTAATACATCTAATTTTGGTGCGAACATATTGACCAACGCAAATGATACTAACATATATGTATAAGCCTGCCTATCTATATATATTACTAAATATATTATCTAAGACGACATCCATGACTAAGTTAGTTTTTGAATTGATAATGTAAATGTATTCGCTAATAAGTGTAAATGTATCAAATGATTGACTTTTTTCAAAACACAGGTGATCTCGACACGTCTGAAAGAGGAGACGAGCGACTGAAAAAACAAGCGATTTTAGACGAAAAGATTAAAAAATTCCTAGCGGTGAGGACATGTGCAGTTTCAGGTGGCAGTGTGCTTGATGTGGCATGGCAGCGCTCTCTTCGCCGGTCTGGATTAATGTGTATTCTTCTTCTTCTCGAACAACCAGAGGCAGGCAAACCTTGAACAGCGCCTCAGTACTTTCCAAATGCCATACTATACGAAATTAAATTAAGCTATTCCAGCGTAACAAACAATCAATTGTACAAACTGAATGGTCGATCCAGCAGTTGTGTTCACACTAGTTGATTTGATTTGTCCAAGGTTTAAAACAATTAACCTCTTACAAGTCGCAGGTTGCAGGCTATTTGATTTTGGGTATGTGCAAAGTCATTTCACATCATAATATATGTGAATAATATTGGTTTCTATTTAAAGCACTCAAATTGAATAATGAAGATTTTCAGTTTGAATAATCCATATAGTTTACCTTTTTGACAGTTTCTAGAAGCTACAGCTTATACATTGTCAAACACATTAATCCAGGGCCGAGCTAACTCTTGTTTCCTAGATTTAGGTCTTCTCTGATTCGTTTTTACTTGCCTAAACGATTGATGTTGGTAAAATATACATTTTTAAATATTTTCAGTCTAACTACAGTGCTACCAACAACAATAGTTGATTTGTATTTCCTCAATAATTGGGCATTTCTTTGCTTCTGAATTATCACTATACATTAGGCCTATAAAGACACGGAATTAATTAATACTGTACTGTCCGAAATCTGATGTAAATGTTGATTCGATATTGGTTATTAGTTTATGTTTTCATGAAAGCACAATGTTAAATTAAAATAATGTTTCGTTAAACTATTTTGGCTTTGAAACATGACCTCAGCAAGTTGCAGCCAATTGTAAAGAACTATTGGACACTATCCGATGAAATGTCTTTTACCAATTAGTTCATATGAAGATTTCGACCTCAAATTTAGAGTCGCCTAAACAACTCTATAAATCATCATCAATCACATACGTATAAATAGAAAAAAGATTAAATTACATGATAGGCCTAATTTATTTTCGTATGTGATTGTAAAACATCATTGCTTAAGTAGCATAGGTAATAGGTAATATTGTCCACTTTGCGTTTTTTATGTTTACATCACACATGAACAACACTATGGTCATTGTACCATATTTGCCATATTTGTACCATATATTGCTTGTAGTTCGTTCATTTTCATTGGCATATTTTGAACATAGTCTTTTTGGCGATTACACAGTTTACCAACGTTTATAAAATAGAAGTTTCCAACAATAGTAAACGTAAGACCGATCGAGACAAAATTTTATTGCAGCCCTGCAATCGATATCATAGACAGAAAGTTAAAAAAAAAACATAATTTTCTTTTATCTTATTTTCTAAAGAGGTTGTTGGTTTCTTTTATCTATACATTTACCCGTTCAAATAGGCCCGCTTCTGTTTGCGAACAGTATCTAGCAAAGCAAGGGGGTGATCCGGTACAGTACAAGATAAAATATAAACACTACCCTTATACAATACGGTACACTAATAACATTTTAAATGTAATTCGAACTAACAAAAACAAAGAAATGCCCAATTGATCGTTGCAACTTGAACTTTGACTTGCCTTTCCTTCGGTGTTCTTTATATGTGTTTGGTTGTTGTGTTTCCTTTTGTCTCTTTGTCCCATCCTTTACCCGTTCTCTTACAACGAATGACTTCTCCCTCGGTATGGATGGAGTCGTCAACGGGTGGCACCCAAGGGACACCCCTCGGGAGGTCAAAGTCACCCTTATCGACACCCGAAGACGCAAGAAGACAGTCAGGTTCGACGGTCCTCAAACCAAGGACTCGGGCATTGACACATCCAGCACGTTCACATCCAGTGAGGATTCGAACAGCGCGCCCAAGGTATACTGTAGTGGCGTAGATAGCTCTGCTAGCGTATTGCTGCACTTGTAACGCTGAACATTGTGTAGAATCATAGCATGGGAGGTTCGGTAGCTGATTTTAAAGTGTACAGTTAATAAAATCATAGACTAAGACAAGTAGACTTATCATACCATTGTAAATTTTGAAGCTCGTTTAGTCTAGTTGATGTCCGGTGACACTGATCGCTAGTGTCGCCAAAAATTTTTTTCTATCAGTTTAGGGTTACTGTTTGGTTTTATAACTAGGGTACCAGTTATTGTTTTGTAAGAAAATAAAACTCTTCAGTGCTTTCTACAACTTACTTATATTTTATACATGAAAAATCTCAATAACAAAAATCGAACATTCTTTCTCCACTTAAAAACATCAATTCAACTCTACCAATTATTATTCACCTTGATAACCAAAATATCCAAAACGTAAACATAAACAAAACTATTAAATCAGCTGATAGCTCACAACTACACGCCCCCGTGCCACCCGTGTTATAAAAACAGATAATAAGAAAACTGGATGATGTTGTTCAACACTCCAACGATAGGTACTACGGCCGCCTTTTAAGGTGGCCGTGTAGGTACTCAGGTAGTAAAAGAGGTACATTTTAAAGGCATTGATGAAACCTAAATTTCAAAGGTTATAAACATTGTTTGAAGATTTTGTAGTTATTACCTTTTTTCTTTTAAATCTTCCAGGGTATATTTTCAAAAACTCTAATTGACTGTTCAGGTGTTTAGCTCATTGAGGTTTTATGATCGTAAAGGAAATGACTAAACTGTCCGAAAAGAAAAACGTTAAAAACAATATATCATATTATTATGATACAGTAAAACTTGTGGTCATCGTTTAAGGTCATTAAACAAATAATAATATAGGCATTTGGGACATCAAAATGAAGCTTAGAGTGTGTAGATCCGACGAGAAGTTTTGGTATGAACGAATTTCTTAGGGCTGTGCTTTATACGCAGGTTTTCTAAGTGCTTCGCCTTACATGCTTAAAAAGCTTACATTATCTATATATTAATAGGCAAGCATGTTTCTTTAAAACCTTTTTTCTCGGCTCGTGTATCGTAGGGAAAATATGTAGAATCCCTTTATAAATTAAAATAGGCTCAAAAATGAGCGCAAAAAAATGAATTTTAAATTTTAAAAAATTAACATGGGTCTTATGGGTTGATGGTGATGAAATAACAACAAAAAATAAAGAGAAAATCTAATCAAATGTAAGAAATTTCAATCACATGTTTTATTTACAGCGTGGGGTAAAAATAGAGAAGAGTTTAGTAGAATATTGCTCATAGTTTTATTTGTGATTGCTATATTAAGTTCCAGGAAAAGAGGCTTGAAAAAAGTAAGAATTAGGGTAAAACATATTTCTTTTTATGAAACATCAATACAGTAATTGATTTTATCACTACACTACGGTATGTTAGATTAATTTTGGGCGTTGGCTTCAGATATAAGTAGGGTTTTGAAAGTAGGTCTAAACTTTTCAATAAGTTTATCTTTTGAATTTCATAGAGGTACAGTATTTTTAACACACATCAGCAGCGATGACACACTGTTCTTGGGTGCACCCCCAATAAAATTTAAGAAAAATAGTTTTTCTACACTAAGTGAGAAAATTGATTTTTCTTTTTAAGTAATGAGTTACTATTTCTAGAACACATAGAAACAACAGCATTATTCTCTCTTGTGTCCTCTTCCCGTTTCGAAGCAGAGGTATAGCAATTCGTTAGCATAGGATTGAAAAGAATCGCTCTTGTTCTTATTTATAAGGATTTAGTCGGTATATTCTCACTAGTCTGTCTTTGTTTGCCACTTTAGAATATTTCCATCATATTATAAACTGATGAAATCACTTTGATAGAGCCAACATAAATTCGGAAATTGGTCCATCGATTTTCTATGGTTAACTTCTTAGAACCATCACATTTGGGATACTAAAGTAAGCGTCCCATCTGAATATGGACCAAATGTAGCTAAATTTTTATTTAAATTGAACATAGTGGATTGACTCACTCACAGGTTGCGCTACCATCAACATTCTATTTTACTCCTTAGTCTTTGATATTAAGTTAGTTTATGTGCATACATACGTATCCTTCCCCGGTCCGGTTATCTCTGAGTCTGGGTGTTAATTACGCATCTACATCTTCTTTTGTCCCTCCATAAATCGTCTTCCTCAACATACTGCCACTGCTACTGCACTCCTCTCGCTTCCACATCTCTTCCCACCTCGTCAATCCACCTTGTTCTAGGTCTTCCTCTTGGTCTTCTTCCGTTCATGTGAAGCTCATACTTCATTGGGGGGGGGGGGGGGGGGGATTCTATTATTTTCCATTCTATTTCAATCTCGACTTCTCTACTCGTTCTCTCATACTTTCTTCAACTATTCCTCTTTTAACTCTTCATTCATAATTCTATCCACTCTTGTTTTCCCTTTAGCCTCTTATAAATTTCATTTCCTCCACCTGAACTCTACCCCATACCCTCTCTGTTATATTCAAAATGTCTGCACTATAGGTAACTACCGGTATATAATAAGTTATATACATGCCACCTTTTGAAGTCTTTCGTATATCTTTATCCCTGACTAGATGTAACACTGATAAAATCCCGCACCTTTCCCCAGTCTAGCCGTTACCTCTTGTGCCATTCTACCATCGTTCGATAGCACCAAAATATGTAAATTGTTCAACTAACTTGCGGTTCTTCCTATACTTTTAAAGGTTTTTCCAACTCTTGATCCCTTAACGATTAAATAATTGACAAAAAGATGTAATTTAATTACAATACTAGGTTATGTTACCTGTTGTATCGCCCAGTGGTTCTGTTCTTGTAGTTGGACTCCCATGGTTTCGAAGACTTTATGCCTTCATTGTTAAGTGTACGTGGATATTAAATGTCAGTAATCCTCTTCAACCTGGACGGTGTGAAGATTCGTCGTACGAAACACGTAAAAGGGTAACATTAAAAATGTATAGGATGACTTGGTGGTATCAGGTAAAAATTTTACCTGGTTATTTTACCGTAAAATAACCTATTATTGTAACAATCTAGAGATTCAGAGGCTACGACACCATGAAATTGTAATTTAAGCGTAGTTTGAATAAACAAAAAATAATAATTTGCATCGTCATACTTTGTCACTGGCTTCAATTTTTTGTTTTTACTGGCTGCTTCAAGATGGGAATTAGATGTCACATCAATAGTGAAAGGGACTGGACTTTTTTACGTCCTACACTCATTCGAATGAATATATCGATCGGTATATCGATTGTTCCATTCGATATATCAGGTTTTGTTAGTTAGGTTAAAACCTAACCTAACTAACCGAATGAAATAATCGATGTTTCGAATAATCTAAACATCGATATTTTTTATTTAGTAAGTGCAGCCATAGTGAAATGTACTACCTTATATTGCCACAAGTTAACTGTGTTATTTCCAGGCAATTTTGTTCTTTGATGCGGTTTTGTATTTGAAACCTTAATGTTACTCAAAAGAAGGAGTATAAATTGTCGGAGGAAATCTGAAACGATTATACACAATGTTCAGCCCTAGTTAGAACACTTGTAGATAGCGCCACATGACGGTAGATTACACCATGCCATGCTATACAGTTTACGCTGCTTCCCTGGAGTAATTATTAGAAGCTATCGTTACTCGTATTAATTATGTGTGTTTAATAAAAACTATTCCAGTGATTGTTTTAGGCTTCATACTGTTAACTAGCAGAGTACCCATCCTTCGTACGGGGTAGGCATACAAGTGTAAAATACTTATTGCAATTATACTTTAACCTAGCGTTTGCAATGGGGGAGGACACAGTTTGATAAAATTTGCTACTTTAAATTTACGGTATACTTTAGTATTACACATGTACCATAGCCATAATGTTCTACCACTTCACCAAAACAATAGAGAAAAATAAATCATTAAAAACTTGCAAAATGTCAAAAATTATTCATGCAATTAAAAACATAAACATAACTGTAAACAATCCTACTTTGGCAGTTCTCATTGCCTATAACAGTTTTTTTTTTGCTGCTTAGTTCAAATTAGCTGTTTTCATAAATGAAAAAATAATAGTGCTGCACCATGTTGGTAAATCTTATAACTTTTTAATACTTTTGCATATCATAGAACCAATTTTTTAGTTGAAACAGCTGACTAAATTATTTAATTCCCTTTAAATATGAACTAGAGGTCGTCCAGCGGTCGAAAACTCGACCAAAAATATGTAAATGAAATTAAATGAAAAAATTAAAATTATATGAAATGAAAAATTATATATTTATTCAGACAAAGTTAGGGCCACATGGCCGTTTCTTACACTATGTAATGTACAGTGTAAACCCCGGTGGGGCACACGGGAGGGACTAAGGCTAACATATCTTGTAGTGTCAGCGTTTGCCGCTAGAACTGCTAAGTTGAAATAATTTAAATTATTATTATTATTATTTTTTTTTTTTATAAAATTAACTTTTTAATTATAAAATATTGTTTCAAATTATAAAATAAATTTTTAATTTTTAAAATTAAACTGTCATAACATAACTTAACCAACCAGACTTGCTGATAATATAAAAACTAGCCTATATAAGATAAAAATCTAATTAATAATTACTTATAATTTTTAATTAATTATAAAATTAATTTTAAAATTTAGTATTATAAAATTAAACTGTCATAACCTAACCTAACCAACCAAACTTGCTGATATGAAAAATTTGTTGACAAAAAGTTAGTGCTGCCAGCGGGATTCGAACCCGGGACCTCCTGAACATCAATCCGAAACGCTACCAACCATGCCACGAACGCCGCTGAAATCTCATCGTTTCGTTACGGTAATCGTGTCGCCTCAAGAGAAGACATTAGCCACTAGAGATATGACGTCACTACACCTTTAGCCTTAGTCCCTTCCGTGTGCCCATTCCGTGTAAACCCCACACTGTAAATAAAACATGTGATAGGAA